ATTCAAATAATTCGGAGAACATTCTTGTCTAATTGCGAACAATACATCTATATTTTTTTATCTCATTTTTATATCATCTGCAGTACAAGAAGCTCCAGAAGAGGAAGAAGAGGAAGAAGCAGAAGATATGATGAGTATTCGAATATCAAATACAATTGCCATTAATAACATCCAAAATCTATTTAATTATTTGCAAGAAAATCTTTATAATAGAAATAATCCTTAGTTTTTTTGATATAGTTTTATTATTATTATGTTTATTATTATATATTTTCGATGTTTATTATTATATATTTTCAATGTTAACATTTTTTATTTTAATAAATTAAAAATCACGTGAAATTCGATAAGTCGGTTCTCTCGATAAGTCGGTCGCAGGAGTCCGCCCCGACATGACCGACTTATCGAGTTTACATATGTAAAAGAAATCTCATTACTTAAATTAGAAAAATCTTTTAAAATTTTAAATTTCGGACTGTGACGTTTTATAGATAGATGACTCGAACCATACTAATTAATCAACAACCATTTGCCGTGTCACAATCCTCTTCCAAAGCCCGCAAGTCGTGCGATTTTCGTGCAGGTTCTTTGTCCATTGCCTCTTTTTACGTCTAGCCAGGACCCCCGCAAACTATATAGATAGGTTACTGCCACAGCTGGGTCAAGTCTTATAGTAAAAGACTTAAAATTTTTACTATTAGAAAATGTAATATTGGTGAAAAATTACCAAATTTGGAAATATTGTCTCCAGTAAGCCAATCACAACGTGGGCCAAACCCTATGTCAACCCGTAATTTTTGTATGTAACCTATCTATACAGTTTGCGGGGTCCTGTCTAGCCATGCCTGGTTTTTTCGGTTTTGGAGCGATCAACGTTTTCACCATTTTTAGCAAAAATTTGTCGTGCGGCAAATGGTTTGTTTTATAAATATTGTTTTTGCAATTGCTTTGAATTGAATTGCAAAGCAATTTTGCGTATATTATTTTTGTTTCGTTAATAAAGGATTGAAAATTAAAAATCATGCGATCAAGATGCGCAAGCGTTACAATACGTCGTGACTTTTTTTTTCTTGGTACACATGCAAACTCGATAAGTCGGTCACGCGATAAGTCGGTTTTGGCCTAACTCGGCCAAAATTTTCCGCCCCTTTTTTTTACTATTTAAAAAAATTCGATAAGTCGGTCAAACTATATAAAGTCGCGATAAGAGCTAAGTCGGTCAGTCACCTAGTCCGAGTATAATTAAATTAGTCGCGATAAGTCAGTTGCACGTGATATATTACGCACATGACTAAGTTTTCGAATTTTGATTGGTTGTTAGTTTTTGTTACACGGGACGAAAAAATAAAAATTTATAGAATATATATGTGGCTTTATTTGCAATTTGATTAGAAACAATTGCGAATTATTAGCCAAATCTATCTACATTTCCAAAAAGACTATTTTTTTAATTAACAATAATAATAATTTTTATCTTGTCTCATTAATTTTTTAAATCTGTGAAATTATTGGATCTAATCTAAAATAAAATATGATCAATTGACCTTTTGTTCAAATAAAGATCTATCTGAAATAAAATACAATCAATTTCTATCCTTTGTCTCGAATAAAGATAACAATTTTAAATCCATGAAAATAAAATACATCAATCTATCCTTTGTCTCAAATAAAGATAACAATTTTAAATTCATGAAAATTATTAAATCTAATTTGAAATAAAATAAAATACAATCAATTTCTAACCTTTTGTCTCGAATAAAGATAACAATTTTAAATCCATGAAGATTATTAGATCTAATTTGAAACAAATAAAATTACAATCAATTTCTAACCTTTTGTCTCGAATAAAGATAACAACTTTAAATCCATGAAAATTACCTGAAATAAAATACACCAATTTCTATCCTTTGTCTTGAATAAAGATAACAATTTTAAATCCATGAAAATTATTAGATCTAATTTGAAATAAAATAAATACAATCAATTCTATCCTTTGTCTCCTTGATTCGTAGAATAAAGATCCTTTACCAAATTTCTTATATAAAGGATGAATTTACTGCCATGTACCTGTTATTATAAATTTAACTATATTGTTAAAAAAAAAAAATATTAACTTCGTTTAAGAAGAACAAAATAAAAATTTTAATTAAAATGAATACACAAAGAAATAATGCTGAAGGAACATCTGGATCTACTAGTAAAGGCGGAAGTAAAAAAGGAAGGAAATTAAAAACTCTTACAGCTATTAAAAAAAAGGAATTATGTGAATATAAACGTGATAATCCATCCAAGTCACATGAAACAATTGCTGAATTATTTGAAATAAGTAAATCAACTGTGGGTGATATTTTGAGAAGCAAAGATAAATGGCTTGCAGTTGCAGAAGATTCAACAGATGCTAATAAAAAACGTGATCGTGGAGGTGGATGGCCACAGTTAGGGGAAGCATTGTTGATTTGGGTGAATCTTGTCAATGAAGCTAACTGTACAATAACTGGTGTGATCTTGAGTCAAAAGGCGGCGCAATTTGCTCAAAGACTTAATATTTCCGATTTCAAATCATCACATGTAAGTATCAATTTCTTTTTGTTTTAAATTGTGTATTAATTCATTAAATATCTATTATTGATTTTAAATAGGGGTGGATTGTAAATTTTAAAAAAAGAAACAATATTAAAGAACATTATAAATTAGGAGAAGCAGCAAGTGCATCAATTAATGAATTACCTGCACTTAGAACTGAACTACAATCTATAATTGCACAATATGAATTGGCAGATGTATATAATGCAGATGAAACTGGTCTTTAGTGTTCCTAGGTTCAGTTCAGTTCGGTTCAAGTTCAATTGAACCCTGAACTTGAACCGAACTTGAACCACTCATATTGCTGTTTTTTGAACCTGAACCGAACCTGAACATATAATATCTGAACTTGAACTGAACCTGAACTTATCCATGGGTTCAGTTCAGGTTCGGTTCAGAGTTCATGAACAAGTTCAAGGTTCAATCACATGACTGGTTGAGATTTTATGTGAAGGTATAAATTTTTTTGTATATCTCTTATAATGAAAATTGCAATTCCCCTGGATTATTGTTACATTACATTGCATGATCTTGTTCAGAAAGAAATAATAATAATAACTAGTGATTTTGATTTTTTTTAGCAACTTCATCACACTGTGTATTGATACACCAATATTCTAAAAAATAAAATTTTTTTTTTACAACAAAATAAATTATAAGTCATTCATGGAATGAAATACTATTAGAGCTGAATTTTGTGGATAAAATCTGCATTTGACAATCTTTGAAAACACAAAAAGTTCAGTGACTAAGTGACTTGCACTATATATATATTTCTATATTCCAATATAATAAAAACAGGCCTGAAAGAGATTTCCTTTTTGGAACAACAGTTGGTTAGTGAGTTTAAAAGACTTTAACAAATAAGAAAAAAATCATAATCATGTAGTTTGCTGTTTTTTTCTGCCGTTTTTTTTTGTCAATCAATATTTATCACATCCAAAATTTGTCACCGAAAATATAATTTATTATTCTCTAATTAACATAACATCAATGCTAATAAAAAAATTATTTTTGGCCTGCCCGTATTTTTATTATTATTTATTATTTAATAGTATTATTAATGGAAGAAAAATTTTTTATTTTTGATAATATTTTTGGTGACCTGCCGTTTTTATTTAATAAGAAAAAATATATTTTTGGTGACCTGCCGTTTTTTTAATTAATAAGAAAAATATATTATTGGTGACCTGCCGTTTTTTATTTAATAACAGATAAGAAAAATATATTTTTGGTGACCTGCCATTTTTTATTTAATAAGAAAAAATATATTTTTGGTGACCTGCCGTTTTTTATTTAATAAGAAAAATATATTTTTGGTGACCTGCCGTTTTTTATTTAATAAGAAAAAATATATTTTTGGTGACCTGCCGTTTTTTATTAATATTAATATATAATTAATTCTAAAGAAAAATCGTTTTTTAAAATTTTTAGGTAAGTGATATATTATACGAGCCCATTATTATTATTATTATACAGAAATTTAATTAAATATTAGAGTAAGATATTTAAATCATTATTTATTATAGTAATAGAAAGTCATCATATGAACTTTATTATTTAAATTGAATTTATAAAATCACCAGACTTTTTCAATAAGCAAATAACGTTTTTGCCATTTAAAAAAAACGGTTTTTCTTTTTGAAAAAAGATATAATGCAAGATAATTTCCTCTGAATCAAAACAAATGATAAAAAATTTACAATAAAAAAACATGATTTTTTTTTAGAATTAATATTAATATTAATAAAAAACGGCAGGTCACCAAAAATATATTTTTCTTATTAAATAAAAAAACGGCAGGTCACCAAAAATATATTTTTCTTATTAAATAAAAAAACGGCAGGTCACCAAAAATATATTTTTTCTTATTAAATAAAAAAACGGCAGGTCACCATAAATATATTTTTCAATTAAATAAAAAAACGGCAGGTCATCAAAAATATATTTTTCATAATAATAAATACAGCTGGTCACCAAAAATATTATCAAAAATAAAAAAATTTTTTTTTCCATTAATAATATAAATAATAATAAAAATACGGCAAGCCAAAAATAATTTTTTTATTAGCATTGATGTTATGGGAGAATAATATATTTTCGGTGACAAATTTTGGACGTGATAAATATTGACCAACAAAAAAAAACGGCAGAAAAAAACGGCAAACTACATGATTATAAAAAATCAGCAAGATTTTCAAAAAGTTTATATTAAAATATCAAATGGAATTCTAATTAGAAAATCTTTTTTCATGCCATTATTAATAAGTGTTAATTAATCAGACTTTCTTTTTAATTGAAATAAATTAATAATCTGCAATGAAATTTAGAAAAAGATTGTAACACTGCAAATATTTAAAAAATTTTTTTTTCCGTTAAAAATAAATAAATAAGTAAATAAAAAAAAAAATTTCTTCTTGTTTCTTTATGCCAATGAACCATCATTTTTCATCATTAATTTCATGATTTTTTCCTGTAATGACAACTACTGGTACTTTTTGAGTTGTAAAACATTTAAAGCATCCAGGTCTTTATATATATATCATACATTAATTTGAAACCCTTACATAACCATGTACTCCGAAAACTTATCCCAATCCTCTAATGCTGATAATAATAAAGATTCACAAAACTTAATTTTCTCCAACAAACGTAATCATATAAGTGAGGTATGGAATTATTTTGAGAAAATCGAATGGGGAAAGGACAAAAAAATTGCAAAATGTATAATTGCAAAATGTACACACAATGCTTTTTCCTGTGGAAAGGAAGGTACAACAAGGCCACTCTGGCATCATTTGGAGAATTCACATTGGATGGTTTATGTTAAGACTGAAGAATATTATAAAAAAAAGAAAAAAACACAAATAGAAAGTGGAAACATAGAGGAATTTTTAAAAAAGGTAAATTACTTTTTGAATTATTTTTTGTTTTCCTTTTTCAATTTTGATACTAATTGTATTTTAGTCATCTGTGTCTCCAGTCAACTCCTCCACTACTATTGATAATGAAAAATTTCATGATATGATTGCCATTTGGCTCATCAATTGTCAACGTCCATTCCTCACAGCAGAAGATCCTGAACTTATTGAAATATTTAGATATTTGAATCCCAATGTCAAACCAGTGAAGGCTGATGCAATTAAGAATACAATTATGAAACTTTACAAAGAGGGAAAGAGAGAGTTAAAGGTAGACTTTACCATTGTTGCATTGTGCTTTTTTTTTTTTTTTGTTAATAACCATTAGTGGCATTATAGGTGTACCTCTCCACTATAAATTCCAAAATTTCTTTTACATCAGACCTTTGGACCTCTCCCAATAACAAGGCCTTTGTTTCCACCACAGCTCATTACATTGATGATGACTGGGTCCTTCATGAGACAGTTGTTGATTTTGGTTTGATGAAAGGGAAACATGAAGGTGTAAAAATTGCTAATGGGTTTTTTGATGTGTTGAAGGATTATGACATTATATCAAAAGTATATGGTCTTTTTTAAAGTTTTCTTCATTTTATTTTATCATTTTTATAATTCTTTTCTTAATAGTTTCAAGCTATTACCTTGGACAACGCCTCTAATAATGATACATTTGTACGGGAATTAGCAACAAAATTAAGAGAAGAAACAGAGACTGAGTGGAACTGGGAGCATATTCGATTCTGATGTTTTGATCATGTTCTTAATTTGGCAGTACAGGCAGCTTTGGAAAAAGTGAAAGAAGATATTAACATGGTAAAGATATATTCTTTCATTATTTTTTTTTATAAATGTTTACACTAATGATCTCATAGATTAGGGAACTCAACTCTGCTATTCGTACCTCACCTCAATGGGTTGAACTTCTTGAAAATGCTTGCAATGCATGCAAAATTAAAGTTCTCAAGCCTATCCTTGATTGCACTACGCGTTGGAACTCTACACATGATATGATTAGGAATGGTCTTTATCTTAAACCAGTAAGTTTTTCTTTTAACTTCCTATCATTTCAGATGTCAGAATTCAAAATTCTGATAACAATTTTTAGGCACTCAACACCCTCACTAGCATTCATGATGACCTTCATCAGTATGCCATCTCTCATACACAGTGGGCTACTCTTGAAAAAATTGTTGAATTCCTTGAACCATTCAAAGACCTTACGTTAAAGATGTCAACTAGCTCATATAGTACAGCCTACCTTATCATCCCTCTCTTCAATATTATTATTGATCATGTTGAAGATACAGCAGATTTAAGTGAAGGTGAAGTGACTGGGAAAATTCAGATAGCAGCTAAAGCAGCAAGAGATAAGTTAGTATGATATTATTCAAAAACAAATATGTTTATGATGTTGTGTACAGCATTAGATCCAAGAAGAAAGCTTTATTATTTTACAAAGAAAGGATTTCTAGATGATGATATCAGTGAAACAAAAATGCTGTAAGCAATCTAATTTTGAAGGTTTTTTGACCCATATTTCTCAATTCTAATTCACTGAATTAATGTTTAGGATGCGACATCTCCTTGAAATACATTATACATCAACATCCATATCTATCACAAATTCATCATCAATTAATGATAGTAATAGTAACACCAATAGGACAGTCACACAATCAATGCTAGATGCAGACTTTGATGAAGATGAAAATGATGTAGATGAACTTGAATGTTATATTTCTGAGAAACCAGCAAATAAGGATACAGATGTATTGGCATGGTGGAAGGTAAAGAATATGTTAATTATGAATAAGTTGTTAGAATGCATATTAATGTCAGTTAGTAAATAACATATGTAGGCCCATCAGAAACAGTTTCCTCATCTTGCTTGTATAGCCCGTGACTATCTTTCAATTCCTGCAACCTCCACTTCCTCTGAACGCCTCTTTTCTTCAAGTAAAAATATGATCACAGATAAAAGATGTAAGTTGGCACCAAAGACTGTAAGAGCAGGACAATGTCTTAAATCATGGATGCAGGGGCCTTTGAAGGAGAAGTTGGGAATTTATTCAAGCAAATAAAGCAAGTCATATCATTAAATTACTTTGCATTTAAATTTCACCAAAATTAAAATTTCATTAGGTAATTTAATTTATTCATTATTTTTTATTAGTATAAAAAATTGGTTGTATAAAAATTGTTGGTTATTGTTAGAGATGAAATTGTATATACTATGTGTTAATTCAAAAAGAAATTATTATTGTTTATGTTATAAAAAAATTTTTGAATTCCTAATTCTCTGATTCAGATATTGTATTTGTATTGCTGTTAATGCTATTAGAATCATTACCAACAACATCATCAGCATCACTATCATCATAATCATAATCATAATCATAATCATCATAATCATTATTGTCATCATTACCTCTTTATATTTTTTTATATGTGCTTTGCACTTTGCACTTCTTTTATTAATTAATGACATCACATGATTGAACTTTGAACTTGTTCATGAACTTTGAACCGAACTTGGACTGAACCTGAACTGAAAATTTTAAATTTGAACTGACCTTTGCTTTATTGAACCGAACTGAACCTGAACTGAGTTTTGATGAACCGAACTTGAACATGGCCTGAGGTTCGGTTCATAGGAACACTACAATAGAAGAATTAAAGGCCAAAGATATCACACAATGGGAAGATACCTGCTATAATGCTAAAGATAATTTTGAGAATTTGGTAGCAAAAGTTTTACGCAAAACATACTCAGCAAATCATTGGGAGGCTGTACGAGGGCTTTTCCAATCATTGGGTTTTACTGGCATTGATGATAATTGTATCCTTCCTGGTAATATTGTATCAGAAACATTCGCACAATCTTGTGAGAGATTTATAGAAATCCAAAATCAATCATTATTACTTTTTGGCTTTAAGTCTCATGCAAAAGAAATACCAGATCTTTAATCAGCTATAAAAACAATTAATGCAATTGTTGGCAATTGGTGCGGTTATACTATAAAAAGTGAACGGAAATTGGTAGGATCTAAAGAAAAAAGAGTTTGGAAATATTCATATCAGATTAATCGAAAGCCATATGAAGGGCGTGGTTTTGATGATCAAAAAGAAGTAATGGCTAGAAAGGTAGATAATCCTGAATATGTCTCTATAAATCCGATTCTTCCATCATATAAGCCAAAGATGATTGACATGGTTCAAGATCTTTTCGATTCTATACCTATCACTAATACTACTTCAGAATATGCAGAACACAAAGTTTCTAATTTATCTAGTAATGCGATTGATGAAAACGATTTACCTTTAGAAATACCAGCTCATAATCAATCTACTGGTCTTTCCCAAGATAGATGCCATGTTGATACTATTATTAGTAAAATTAGTACAATTGAGAAAAAAATACCCGAATCCTTAATTTCTCTATCTTCAGAATTTCTTATTAAAAATGAAGCTGATATAGATACGCTTATCATTCTTTTACAGCAAAAATTCCAAATGTCTCAAGAAAGGCTAGAACAATGGAGAACCAAGATTGCTTTTGAAATGAGGAATAACCATAATTATTGGAAAAAAGAGCGCGAAAGTATGAATGAAGCCGAGTTCTTGGAACACAAGCGAAATTTTGAGGCTAAATTGGGTATTCCTACTACTTCGCACAAAAAAGAATTGAAAAATAAATCTTTAGCAATTATTGAATATGCATAAAATCTAGCTAAGTAATAATCTCTGGTGGAGAGAAATTGTTACATTTAACTAGTCATTTATCTCAGGTAAGGGATGTTACCTCTTACAATAAATGCTGGAAAAAATTCAAATCGAAAATTAATTCAGATCATAGGATAGGTAACTATAACCATTTTTGTGTTATGCGATTTTGGCATTGGAGCAGAATATTTAATCAAGAATATACAAAGGTAAAAGAAAATTGTACTTTTACGTATCATTAGGTAGATATCAAAAAAGTGATATGCAAAGGTTAGCAAAAAAATGATACGCAAAGGTAAGCAAAAAAGTGATATATGAAAATTTTCAAAAAGTGGTATACAAAAGGTTACAAAAAAATTGAGCTTTTACGTATCATTAAGTAGATATCAAAAAAGTGATATGTAAAGGTTTTCAAAATATGTGTCTTTGACACTAGCTTCGCTATAATGCACATATGATATATAGTAATGCGATCCAATTTTTTGTCATAAAGCTAAAATTCTTAAAGATATTAACTATACAAGAAAGGCTTCGAAAACTGAAAAATATAGTAAACTTTTGGTGATACTCAAAGGCAGAATATTATAAGGAAAGAGGTAAGATAAATTTTTGCTTTTACGTATCACCAAGTAATGATAACAATTTGGCACTACGTGCCTCATCCTCGGGTTACCAAATAGGATAACGATTCGGCACTACGTGCCTCATTCTAAGATAACATAATAGATAACGATTCGGCACTACGTGCCTCATCTTTGACGAGGCAAATGCAAATCACACGTCACCCAATGAGCAGACTATAAACATCTCATCTTTGACGAGGCAAATGCAAATCACACGTTACCCGATGAGCAGACTATAAACGTCTCATCTTTGACGAGGCAAACGCAAAACGTACGTCACTCGAATGACGAGGCAAACGTAAAACGTACGTCATACCTGAGACTATTATAGTCTAATCTAAGTCGTTTTGAGTTTATATAAACTCAAAACGACTTCAGGCATATTATTAATATTATTGCATATTACTATTACATGTAGTTAACTTCAAAAGTCAAAAATTCGAAAAACATCAATTTAACATGACTCAATATATATGTAAAGATAATTTGGTTTTAATAATTTAATTAAGTAAAATTTCTGATTCAAATTATAAAATTTGTGATAATTATTCTTCTTACATCATCACAATATACATGCAATGATAATAACTCTTTATCCATCCCTGGGTACACATTTTTTATCATTATCATTATTGCTGCTTGTATCAATTGTATCCAATTGCAGTCAAATCGTCAAAATGGCCCTAGAGAGAAAATGCCTTTAGTCAATACTTTAGTTACATCAATGTTTAAAGTCAAAATTTTTGTCATCATCATTATGTGCTATGCAAGATCAAAATTTATTTATTGTTAACATTAAAGTTAAGTTGTGTTTGGATTATGTCTTCTTCGTTGTGAAATCACATCATTTGGGTCAAGACAATAATATATTTTATTGAATTCAAAACATGTTAATAGGATGGCTATCCCCAGATTTTTTGCAACATGTTCAAATCACGCCATCATTATTCAACTTTTATAACAACAAGGATTTTGTTATTTAAGGATACTGGCTGCACCTTTTGATGGTGGTTGCAATCACCTTTATGTCATATAAAAATGTTTGCAACACCTGGTTGCGACCACTTTGCCTCTTTTTTTGATTGCGACATTGAACATTATTTTATTTGTTAGAATTTATGCTATAACCTGTTTATAAATAGAGTTGCTTTCAATGAAATTTATTTTCTTAATAAATTATAGTTCCAAGCTGAAATGCTTTAAAAAAACGCCTAGAGAACTACCAGAACTAAGCCTGTTCTGTAGAATTAGATGATATAACAATGGAATAATTTATATCTTCATATATGATGATGATCTTAAGTTATAAATTTTAATATATATAGCCAAATTATCTTGTGTGACACACAGTTAAAAAAAAATCCATCCAACATATTTTTATTTAAACTTTAAACTTTCTTAAATACTCAAAATGAAAATGTTTTGTCAATTAACCGAGAAGCTTCAAAAACAATTCCAACTCCCAAAATTACCAAAAAAACCTCCAGAAGAAAATAGGTTAGTGGGGATCACGCATGTTACTTTAAGTTCTACTTGGTGTTAACAGTGTTAACTAACTCATGAATTGCAGTTTACCTTTTATTATCGGATCAAATGTATCGATAAAAAACTACAATAAATTTCTTGAAAGCTACGAGTCATCCGGTTGCAAGTTTGAGTATAAGAACGGTGACGTTTTTATCGTAGAAATGTGTACAGCTGAACACGAATTTGTCATTACACTGTTGCTGAATTATTTTAAAATCCCAAATGGTGGCGTTATCATTAATCCACCTATACGCGTTTGTGGCCAACCATGTAAGAAAATCCCTGCTTGCTTGATCTTGACTCGCTATTGATTTTCTAATAGCTTACGTCTTTCTTTATAGACCATCCTTCACCAAATGCAGATGGACTTATGATTGCACCGGATGTAGCAGTATATCCGAGTCGAACATATATTCCACGTCCCAATTCTGGACCTACCTATCTCGGACCTCCTCCAAGTGACACTAGGGTATTTTGGATTTGGTGTTGTATATTACCATGTCTGTTTTATATATGATCTTTTAATATCTATACTTTTTTAGGGGAATCCTCATGCTAGGATAATTTGTGAGGTTGCAATTGGTCAAAGTTCTCGTGGATGGAAGGACAAGTGTGCACTTTGGATGCTTCAGCAATACGTACGATGCGTCTTAGGAATAAAGATCTATGATTAAGAACCACACGAAATGCACAAGGAAAATTTAATCGTACAATGAAGGTATATACATAGATCTTTTAACTGTTTTATTATTTCGTAGTTTCACAGTTGACGTTCTAAAAAACTTTTTGAGTGTTAGGCTAAGTTGTGGAGACGAGGAATGCAGACCCAAACGGTAAGGTCAAACTGTTTGAGGTTGAGGGATTCAGTTTATTTTTTATTTTTATTTCTTTCGATGTTTGTAATACATTTTTTTCCTTAAATAACAGTGGTCTTTTGGGACTGTAGAAAAAGGCAATAATATCCCTACTGGGTGTAACGCTCCGGGTAATCCAGCATATCAGATCAATATCCCAATAAGTGATACTTTTTGGGATCCACCTATCCCAACCATTAGATATGTTCCGTTGGTTGCTCGTCCTGCAATTATTGGTGGTAATTTTATAATTGATCTCTATGAAATTCAGCAAGTAGTATTAGAATATCAAAATGAATAATAGTTTGTCTGTGTTTGGTTTTACCTTTTAATCATTTATGCAGTACACCGCATCTGTACCAAAATCGGGAAACATATAGAGCAGGATAGAGGGGTTTATCTATAAATAAGAAATGTAAAATCTGTTCTAATACTTCTGGTATACTAAAAATTCTTGAATATGTCATAAATAATATGTGTGTTAAAGATGCAAAGAACTATTTAAATTTCAAATTGATGACCAGTTACCCGTACATTGACATATACTCTCTTTTTCTGAGTATTAATTAATTTCGATTTGAAAAAATATATTTCATAGTGTATACAAACTAAAGAATTATTCATAAACTACTTGACCTTTTATAACATTCAATCATGTCGGCTATTGTAACTAAAATCGTTGAAAAATACAATCTCAGCTCCAAGACAAGTCTATCTGAACTTAGTCAATATACCTCTGAGTTTCTCGAGAACCTTACCGATGATAGAAAGCGGAATCAAGCTTGACAACGTCTTCGAGATGGTTTTAAATTTAGTAATGAGTAGGTAAGTATATTGATACCTAATCAGTGAAGTGGGAAAAATAAAACTATAAATTTAGTTGAAGGTAATTGTAGAATAGCCATAACCAAGCCCCCAAAAAATTTGGAAGAAGAAATCGTCAGAGAGAAAGCAAAACGAACCTTGCAAAATAGATATGGGTTTAGTGAGGATCAAGTAAATGCCTTATTCTCAATCCAGAAAAACGGAAGTAGACACAGTGTAACTACCTCAGATAAAAACGTAAATATTGTGATCTCCAATCAACTCTCTAAAGGAATGGAGGAAGAAACTATTGGGGATATGGCGCAACGGATTTTACAGGATAAACTTAGCATTAAAGATGTAAGAGCTGAAGCTTATACCCTATCAGCAAAAAATGCTAATGCTGGCTCATCACGTCTCACTCGTCTTCGTAGAGAATTAAGGAACCTTAATGCATCACTTGAGATAATTGAGGCTACAAAATTTCCAGATATTACAGAAGATGCCAACAAAATCCAGAGTGTCAATCGGAAAAAGGCTGAAGCTAAACGTATCGATTATCCGGATGTATTTACATTAGAATCAGTCAAAGAAAGATTAGATGCGTATGATATTAAAACTTTACCTGATTGTCAGGCTCTTGCTGATGTTATGGTGATGCTTTGTATTCGTCCTGCTGAACTTAAAACTTTACGCATTACAGATGCTGGAGTGACGGGTTATGCGAAGAATCGAGGTTAGCCAGATATTCCTAGAAAATTTAGATCTATGGAAAAGAATCAAGAACGAGCCAAAGAACTACTCACTTGGATTCAGAGTGCTATATCTTCTGGTCGAATGGGTAATCCAGGAGTTAAATGGTTCAATAAATTCTTAAAAGATTATGATATAATTCCTAAATATTTACGTAAATTAGGAGCAGTTTACGGTGCAGTAGTACATAAAGCTGAGAATCCAGCCCACGCCTATACCATTGCTGGAGAATGTCTACGTCATTCATCTGATAACCATACTTCTCTAGCACAAAACTATGTCGTGGTAAACTACAGGAAGCGGGGACAAAAACCCGAAGAAGTGAGACCATTCCATCTCTATGATGATGATAACTAATCAAGCTTCTTTGCTTTCACCACTTTCACAGTAAAATCTTTATCATCGTTGCCGGAGGTAGTCACTTCGTAGCTAGACGATTCAGAGCCAGACCCAGATGAAGACGAGGATGAAGATGCGGTATCATTTAAAATTTTCTTTTTTCTTTTAGCCTTGCATGGTGTATGATTTCTTTGAGAAATATTGGGGTTTACTATCGCGTTTATAATATCTTGCCGAATCTCGGGCTTCACTATCTCCAGTAATTGATGAAGAGAAATCCAGATTTTTTACCTGCCACTTGCTTAACAATGCCAGATACCGCTTATCAGTAATATTGGATAAACTTTTATCTTTTTCAAAACCCAATTTTTTCGCAACCTCGTAAGTGATAATTGGACATTCTGAACCTGAATCAATTACACTCTGTTGCTTTAACATCGCTTCAAATTTTTTACAGACACTTTGTATTGTCTCAGGATTATCAGCTTCGGTCATTGTAATAGTTAAATTATTTTATTAATACGAATTTAAAAATGCAGAATAAATATATTGTTATAATAAAACATCACAATGACAACTTTATCCTGCGAAATTAATAAAGTACCAGTTACAACTATATTAGGTTCCGTTGCTAATTGTAATATTATAGCTGAGGAGGTAGTAAATGAATTAGGTTCCCGCCTTCTCGTGACTCATAACTCGAAGCCAGATATTTTTAGTTGACTCTATATAAGATAACTATTAGTCTTTTTTTGAACTTGAGAGAAAAAAGGATGGAAACAAGTAAAAGTTACCGATATTTTTGTTGTTAGTATTCCTGAACATGTACTGATATTAAGGAGCTCATGGTTTAAAGATAATACAATGAAGCTGGACTTCCCGAATAAAACTTACATTACTCGATGGAACTAGTTGCGAGGTTAAGTGTAATTAAGAATATCCGGAAAATGCATAGTATATATGCCTAAAATTAATTATCCGAATATTAGTTATTTTTTCCGATTAAAGATATATAATATATATTACTTGAGAATGGCGCAATTATTGCGGAGCAATGATCCAAAGGATCTAAATATTTTTGATTTACCGGAATTACTAGAACAAATCTTATATTTTTTAGAAAACGATCGATCTCTCTATCCTGCTTTATTTGTTAACCACATTTGGTACCACTGCAGTGCTCCTATTATATGGCGTCGCGTTGAGTTTTTCAACGAAGATTATCAGCAGAGTCGGCGTGCCTTAAATATGTCTCGGGTTCTTACTCGGCAATTGATAAACTTTAAAAGAGTTATGCGTAGAAAAATAAAGCCACTCTATTGTTCAAAGATGGTATATCTCAGGTTAGAAGGTTTAAAAATCTCAGATACATTGATCAGTGCAATTTTACATTCATGTCCGAATATATGCTTTCTCATTTTTGATAAAAGTAAGTGTTTCACTAATATACCAATTATAGAAATTGCGAGATTTTCTCCGAAACTACAGCATCTGAGTCTTAATTCATGTATATGTTTCACTAATCGATGTATCACTGAAATTACTCGCTCGTGTCCAAAACTTAGACATCTTGAGCTTGGCTATTGTTCGATTGATAATAAAGCTGTCGAGGAAATAGCCTGCAACTGTACTAATTTGAAATATCTTGGTTTGGAGGGATGTAAAGGGATTAACAAAGAAGTAATAAAAAAATTCAATCCAAAAATTAAAATCGAATATCCCGATTATTCGGATGATTTACATACTCCACTGGCATAATAATTGGAACGGATTTTATTCCTGCATTTAGAAATTATATCAGAGAGATTGGCAGAATTAATCCTAATCATTCATCGTGGATTACAAATAATTATATTTAGTAGAGAAGAATGGGTGAGTTATTTTTTCGGTTATAATATACATCATTAAATAATATCGCAGGAAGCGCATTATGCTGGCTATAGAAGAATAGAGCGGGTAATCGGGTATTCGACAGCCTCCAGCTAATTTCAAACAAAGAATTTTTATTTGCTGTGATGTATATATATCTGTGATAATTTTCCTTGTTTTACTTTTGATTCTAGACATGGACACTGATTGACGCTAGCCGATTTTTTGACGAAAATTTCATACAATTGTTGAAGAGAGACATTCGGAAATAATGGTAGTCCCTCACCAGTAAACCAAAATTTCTTTACCCCACTATCGATGAATTTCTGTATTAACACACTTGGAACATCTTCTAAGGGACCATGAAATTCCTTAAACTTTCGGAGGTACACTCTCGCATTTTTATCGGCTTCTTCTGCCATTTCTTGATTAGTATAACCGGCAATACCAAGTTCTTCCTGAATTGTCGCTATATCGTCTTCTAAGCATAAAAGCAAATCAAATAATCTAATTGGTTTATCTGAAGAGGCTTTATCCCTTCTAAGTTCCGCTTCTAAAATGGGATTGATATCTATACCAAGGTTCCCCTGTATAAGTATTAAATCCCCCACCAATTCTAACAACAATTCATATGAATCGACAAGTTTTTTCGCTTTCTTGCTCTCCGACACTGCCGTTTGATTTATATTACTGTTAATACCGAGTTTTTTCTGAATAGCTGTTATATCTTTTTTCTTATATAAAAGCACCTTGTATAATTGAGGGAATTTTTCACTTGGATCAGTATTATTATTAGTATTACTCGTCATGATTGTTATAATATGGTAATATAATTAATGCGCATAAATATATAAGTTAAGTGAATACAACAAATTCAATCTGAAAATAATTAATGTGTAACGATTATCTGAAAAATTTAGCCAGGGGCTGGGTGAATGCCTAATCACGTATATCGCACAAAGTATATAATATTTCAGCCACCAGAGCTACTTTTATTGATACGAAATAAATCATACGATAAAATACGGGATAGAAATATGATACTCTAGTAAATTTATCCGAATCACATAACAACTTCTTGGTGGAGAATATGTAGTCGACATCATTGATGATGATGGTGTCCGATCTTCGATTACTGGCAAAAGATTAATTTCATCTTTCACACCCACCGCCATTGCGATAATTTTTTCAACCACGGATCTCAATTTAAGAGCATTCTTTAAAAATTCTTCGACGATCTGGCGAGAGGAAATACGTAATGGTATAACCAACTCACAGATCTGAAAAATTCGATAAAAATCATCTTCAATAAGTCTAACGCGGAAACAGCCACACGATCTCGTATTACTTGGATACCTAAAACGGGAACTTTCCCTAGCTCGATATTTAGCGATCTAGCCGTGTCGGTGGTATCGTCTCTCCCATCAAAGAAAAATTATATCGCTCATCAAAACATTCTTTGCAAATACGTACCAATTTCTTCCAGTCTATAGTTCTTTACTTTGTTGAGGGAGTAATCGTGAAACTTCAGCAAGTACGAGTTCACTTTCTACCATATCAAGCTTTAGCAAAACCTGCAGATCCGGCTTCTTCCCCGAATTCGTAGCTTCCATCCGTTCCATCCTAGATTGTGATGATTTACTCGTCTGCTCAGACCTATATATGTTGAAATATATATAGTTAGAATAGATAATACGTCATATATAGTTATATAGATACATTACCATGCACGCTTGAGTGGCCATTTTGAACATTTGAGGATTGGGTCCAGAACCTTCGATACTGCATGGATCACATAAGCATTCTCGCTATATTCATCTTCTGTCAACAACGGTCTGCAACCCCAGATGTGACGCCTGGAAAATAAATACTCTTTAATAAAGTAAGCATGAATAGAATTACACACTAATAACTTACAATCCTTCTAATAAGTCAAAAACCGTCATCAGTATACGTCTGGTTTCAACGGTCATCTCCCCATGTGGGAAAGCGATTGGTCCCATGAATACTGGATCGAAATCGGGTCCCAAATCTCTATATGTGCTTACGAAATCATCCATCATCATTTATTTCTCCCGGGAAATCATCGTTATGGAATGTATGATGCATCAAAATCTGCTTTGTCCTCGATGATAATAAATTTGTAAATGGATCCTCACTACCCGAAAGATCAATAACACCGGATGCTAGAGGAGCTTCTGGTCTAATCGATGCCAAATCCAACCGTTCCAAATGGCGGATAACTTCAGTATATGCAAGCATGATAGTATCTGAGCAACCATTTTCTATCTTAGCTCTCTGAAGATAATAATTATCATATCAGCATCAAATATCACAAATAAATCAGAAGTCCGGAACGACGAATCTCCTGAACTACACCCTTTGATGCTTACAGTGCCAGCACTCTGCAAGCTAAGACATACGCTAAAACAATATCACGTACACCCAGATACAGACAGCAACATAGACCTATGTTGTTATATCCACCACTTTTCTGCAAAAATATATCATCATTTTTGAAAGAGATCCAATAATTTTTATACTACATACCTTGGACATGGAGTTAAACTGTGTTAAGATTGTTTCTAGCTTTTGTTTGCTATTTGAATGGACCTCGCCACAAGTGGTTATAGCGTCTTGAATCTCTTGGCGATATTGGGTTTCTGCAACATTAACGTTATTTCTTCTCAAAATTTTAACACTTGGTAGATAAATACTGGGGAGCCATTCTTTGAAATATAATACACGGTTTGGTTGATTGCGATTGAGGTAAAAGTAATTTTCAGACATTTTTTTGGAATTGTAGATAATAGTTTTTATCACAAATAAAGCAACAAATAACCATAACGTAGATATACTGTCCTTTTAAAACGTTTCCACCCACCCATTTCTGCCTCGTTTAGGTATGGGAACAGTAGATCAGGGAATCTGGTGGAGCGATGCAAGCCTTACTATGTACACAGCGAAAAAACTTTTCACAAAGAAAATGCATGTGCACGAGTTGGTTAATCAGAATTAGAATTTATAGTAACAGTCAGCAGGTCGTACGATTGCATCATGCATGCAGAAGTTCCATGACCTTCGATTTTTATTCTGTGGTATGTGATTCAAATAATTTTCGTTGCACAGCCACATTAATGATTATCTGATTGATTATGCAGAGGGATTATCAATTTAATTCCTTTAAATAAATTCACGCTGAAATATATACAACATAAATAACAGTTCTTCATTTATGGCAATGTGAATACAATTAAAATGATGGGTGTATATACTGGTAATTGCGTTTAATCAAGAAGGAATGTAAAAATTTTTTATTAATTTCTAAATCACTGCTAACATTATTTCTTGGAATATTAATTTCCAATACTCATACTATCACTATTCCCTGTAGCGTTAATTTCATTATTTGTACCATTATCATTATCTGGATTATTTTCAGTGGAAGCACGAGGCTCCGAATTCTGCGTATTCGTTTCAGCTGTGCTGGCTCTGCCAATATCTTGATTAACATTACTATGTCTTCTATTATCATTAGATCTCCCACGAGGATGTCGGACAAATATCACTCTGAATTATTTTTTTCTAGTTTGACTATGTACTACATAATGCAAGACTCGTACGTTAAAAAAAAAACGCCTAAATTATGAGGCCACTAAAAACCGCCGAATCACGGATCATTTCATACTGTCATACCAAAACATTCGGAATGGTTATATAATGATAAGAATTGCGCTGTTCCGCACACGCAAAACGACTGTCACTTTACTATTACAGTAATTCTCTCTATTAAACCAACTGCTTTTATTACTATACCAAAATGACATCAGGAATTACCCACATCGACCGTGAAAGACTATACACGGATCTTCAATACCGATTCAACTACGTTGCTCAATTTGTCGAATTCGGTGAGGAAGATATTAAGGCAATCAAGAATTCGGCTCCCATTATCGCTCCGCTTGTAGATAAGGTCGTTGAACTCGTCTACGAAAAGTTATTCTCCTTCGATATCACCAAGCAGGTGTTTCTTGCACGCAATGAAGGATTCACCGGGAAAGTCGACAACACGTTAGAGTCATTGCAGGCTAATAGCGAACAGATTAAGTTCAGAAAGGACTTTCTTAAGAAATATCTTGTGAAATTGGTCACTGCAGAATATGATGAGAGATTTGTTAATTATCTCAATTATGTTGGGAAAATCCATACATCATTCCCGGGAAAAGCGTCACGTATAAACGTAGAATATATCCATTGCAATGCGCTGTTTTCGTATGTTAATACTATCCTTATCGACGCAATCAGCAAGGCAGGATTGGAGAATGATGTTGCAACAAAAACAACTATTGCATTCACCAAGTTATTATGGATACAGAATGATCTGTTCGCGCGACATTATGTAGTAGACGGTGCCAATTAATGTGTTCACTATATAAACCAAAATTTGATGTAAATCTTATTGTATTAGAATATTAATAGCGTTTTTTTATATCCAATTGTTATTTAATAAAAATTTTATCAATGTCTTTTATAATATTATGAATAGTCGATCATAATCGTGTTCGTAAAATTTATGTGCCAATCCTAACACCCGAAGCTATCGAGGAAATCAAAGAATGCACCAGCAAATATTCCAAATTGTGTGAAAATATCATCTTAGCGCCAAACATATAGATATAATAGCAAAAGCATGACATGTTGCCTCCATGTCACTGATACATTTTCATTGTTTACGAGTATCCAAATCAGTAACAAATTGCCAATGCACCTGACGTTGAACGCCCCTATGACTAGCAGAAACTTCACGACGATCTAGCATTGATGAAACTTCTTCATAGGAAGGTGGTGGTGTACGGCTACGTTGGCTTTCTTCTCTTCTTCGAGCAGAGGTATTTGCATTATGGATTTGGTCAAATCGCGTTTCTAATACATAGAGTAGGGATATTTTTTGTGAAAAGTGCTTGATATACAGTGTGTAACAAAAAAAACCGGAAATTTGTGAATGTAATAAAAATCCATCTAGGATAATTTGTTTGCACCCGATTTGCAACGCGTAAAATGGAAAATAAACATAATGATCGAGCTTAGATTTGAGCAACATTACTAATCAAAATCAATTTTGTACTTTTCGGGAAACATTGTTATGAAATGACTGATTCGAAGCAAGAAAGACAACGCAAGACCATATTACATTTGTGGAATGAGGGTGTGCGCAGTGGCTGTGAAATTCATGCACGCACCAACATTCCCCTCTCTACTATTTATGATAACATCAAAAAACTCAAAAACAATCGGACATTAGATCACGCACGGGGTAACGGCCGTCCAAGGAAGATTACTGGAAACTCCTCGAAAGCACTTGGACAATACATCCGAAGAAATTCCTCAATTTCAACAAGAACATTGACCAAAAAATTGTCCAAAATCGGTGTTGAAGTATCCCACATGACTATATCAAGACATTTAACTGCTTATGGATACAAAAAAGCTCTCCCAATGACAACACCAATGCTTACCAACGCTCATAAGCAAAAACGCGTTGAGTGGGCACAAAAACATCTTAATGACAATTGGAGTCAGACCTTATTTTCGGATGAGACAGCCTTCCAACTCTTCCGAAATACTATAGAACGCTGGTATAAGGGTGTACGGCCAATTCGTCCCATGCCAAAGGACCGTACAAAAATTTTTGCTTGGGGTGGATTTTGTTTGACAGGCAAAACGAGCTTATTTTGCTTTTGACAAATAATGGACGCTAAATTTTTTGTCGAGATACTCCAAAAGCATATTCCAGAGATCAACCAGATGCTTGGAGATGATTGGAGGCTCCAACAAGACAACGATCCGAAGCATACAAGCCGTCTTGCTAAAGAATTCCTTCAAGAGAATGTTCCGGAAGTCATGGATTGGCCATCAAACAGTCCTGACCTGAATCCGATCGAAAACCTTTGGGCGATTGTGAAGGGAAATGTAGAGAAACGGATGCCAAAAAATCTCAATGAATTGGAAAGGTTTATGGCAGAGGAATGGTGGGCTATCCCGGAAACTGTTATAATCAATCTTGTGGGATCGATGAAGCAACGTTGTGAGCTTATTATTGAAAAAAATGGAGAACGAATCTCCTATTAATTAATATTAATAAAATCCGCTGATGTTTAGCTTTCAAATAAAAAAATTTTTATGCAATTTGGTGCAATCTTCGTAATGCAATGACTAATTTTTCAATTCCGGTTTTTTTTGTTACACACTGTATATTATTGGCCTTTACTAGAATCGCTAATTACTTTCAACGTAGGATGTAAACCTACCTGGTCTTTCCCAAAAGCGGGAACGAAATTCATTAAAATATTTCTCAGCAGTTCTTGTTCTTCGACCTGATCTGTTTCCAGCCATATACTGACATAACGACTAATACGAATTTCATAATTTTTGGATATATATAGGAGTATGATCAATATGAGTCAGAGACTCTATGCCCGCATATACCGATGTTTGTACATATGGGTCAGAGATTCTACGCTCTGCTTATATTTACATTATGGTTATTAACAAGATTTCGAAACTTATCCTTACATTGATGACCCGTATAAGTAGTGCGAAATCGTTCATTTATTTTATTTGCGATACTATTCCAGAAATCTACTCTACTACCACCAACAATATAGTGGTATTCGGCATTCCTAATTTTTAGTTCATCTATTAATAATTGCAATTGTTCATTGGTCCACATCATGTAAATGAGAATTAATAGAAATAGGGACAGATATAAAAAGTGGTATGTATTTATACTGATTTTCTCTCATATATATCAATTATTCTAACTGGGGTATTTGTAGGAGTGGAATGAATTGGTATGTTATTGAATGTTGCATTTGTTTCATTGTCATTTTCTGATTAATTAATGACCATCAATGTTGATTTGTCAGGATTTACTTTAATGGCATTTAATTGGTAGAAAGAAGAAGCAATTGAT